ACAATAACAATCCGAGTCACAGCAGGAGACCTTACTCAGCACGGCCTTTCCAAGCATAGGATCCCACCCAGAATCGCTAGTATGTTTTCCCTAGCGCCTATTTATGACCCCAACCGTCACACAGCACAGGACAAACGATTACGAGCCATAATGTTAATGGCCACATATTACAGACAATGAAAAAAACATAACAAGAAACATAGAGTGGGTAATTCCGCTAACCGGGCATGTTCCATCTTGTAGTTCTGTTAGTTAGTAGAAGTTGTAGCAGTATGGGTTGTTCTAGTTGTTAAAGTGATTGCCCCAGAACCATGCATCAGCATGTTGGCATATTTGAAATATTGGCAATTTGGTAATTTCTTTTCTTGGTGGGCATGATTCCAGGACGTAGCAGCAAGGAAGATCTGGGAGTTGATTAAGGGTCCAATTTGTAGGTTGCCCCAGATCCCTGATAGGGGATGTTTTATAAGGGTTTTTGGTTTGATTAGGGCTCCAGGGCGTAGCAGCAGTCTGTGTTGTTTGTAGCGGTAGTCGCAATGTAGGTCATTCTAGTTGTTGACGTGATTGCCAAAGAAACATGCACCACCATTTAGGCACCTCTGAAATTTGGCAATTTCGTAATCTTTTCATAGTGGTCATGAATCCAGGACGTAGCAGCAAGGAAGATATGAAGAGTCGGAGTTCTTTTGGTTGAATGAGGTAGTTGTAGCATGGGTTGTTCTAGTTGTTGAAGTGATTGCCCCCGAATCATGCACCACCAATTTGGCATATTTGAAATATTGGCAATTTCGTAAACTTTTCATAGTGGTCATGAATCCAGGACGTAGCAGCAAGGAAGATATGAAGAGTCGAAGTTCTTTTGGTTGAATGAGGTAGTTGTAGAATGGGTTGTTCTAGTTGTTGAAGTGATTGCCCCCGAATCATGCACCACCAATTTGGCATATTTGAAATATTGGCAATTTCGTAATCTTTTCATAGTGGTCATGAATCCAGGACGTAGCAGCAATGAAGATATGGAGAGTCGAAGTTCTTTTGGTTGAATGAGGTAGTTGTAGAATGGGTTGTTCTAGTTGTTGAAGTGATTGCCCCCGAATCATGCACCACCAATTTGGCATATTTGAAATATTGACAATTTCGTAATTTCTTTTCTTAGTAGGCATTACTCTAGGACGTAGCAGCAAGGAAGATCTGGAAGGCGAAGAAGATCTGGAAGTCAGTTGTTGATGAAATAGTAGGTTGCCCCAGAGCCCTTATAGGGGATGTTTATAAGGGTTTTGGGTTTGATTAGGGCTCCAGGGCGTAGCAGCATTCATGTAGTAATTGTTGATCAGCACCACCGTAGTATGCACCAAAGCTGTAGAAACACACCAGCAGCAAGCAAACGTTGTTATTGGTTAAGTATAACCAGATTTATAAAATATGGTAAAGCCAAATATGAGATTATCTCATACGAGTCAAAGAAACCTGAGTTGTGAATAAACTTAGTTTAAAAAAAGGTTGATGATTTGTATACTAAGCGTAAATTTCCTGAAGGTAAGTCAAATTAAAGGGCTTAATGTGTCCCTTACTTTTTTTTTCAAATTTGGTAGAAGATAAGAGTATATTAACAAAATACAAAACGAGATTTTAAGTGCCATGCAAGAGTTGTCAGCCAAAAATGGGCTCAGGTAGGTCGAAAGTTGAGCCCTAAGTAATAATAATAAACACAAAACGGTACAAAACAACATCACATTAAGGTATCTTGACATATAAATAACAAAAGACAATACAAGCCATGGTAGGAAATCGTTGTTCTGCACGGGTTTGCTAAGTGTGGAGAGCCAAGGAGTGGGCATTTAAAGCAATTAGTGAGGGTCCATCATGGCAACGAGTGGACTGGCTTGTATCACGTGATATCGGTTTTTTCAACAACAAAGGACCTTGTAGCAGTGGAGCAAGGCCGCTGGGAAAAAGTCTAATTGTTTTCGTGTCCAAACCAGAGAGATGAAGAAACACATACGAACAGAACAGCCAATGCATGATCAACACAATAACGTAGACGAAGACATACAACAATCACATACATCATCAAAAACGGCACAAGAAGCGGAATAGGTGCCTCAAGCCGGTTAAGCGATATCATTTGCAAAGTTAGAGACTCGTCATCGCTAATGGCTAGTCTCCCAAAGAAACAACGTAGTCGTGGTCGTTCCTCGAAAAAAAAAAGTTTTTCGTTTCCAACGGTTAATCATGCTTGCTTACAGAATTATCAGTACGAAATTAAATGATCGTTTCTTTATTTTATATTCAGTGTTTACTTTCTTTTAAGTTTGAAAATTGCATTTTGACCACATTAACTCGCGTCCTTGTTTCACGACCTCATATTAGCCGTGCATCCATTGATCGTCTCGAATAGAACTGAAATAGTAGACTATTCAATTGTCCGTTTTCTCTATAAAATTATGTTGTCTTCCTTTTTGTTCTCTACAGCTCTTGCCTTACTGGTGCAAATTGTTTGTCAGTCATTCAGAACACTTCTTTATATTACCACGTTATTGATGGTAGATTTTAACTTCAAATTTAAACGAGTCATTGGATTTATGTACATTGTTGTGTGATCCTACAGTTCTCTTCATTTTTGTGACCATTTTACTTCTCAATAAAAACCAAAATGCTACTACCACCATCAGCATTGGATAAATTTTATATTTCAATATATTTATTATTAAAATATGCATTACGATGTTCTCGTCTGTCACAAAACATGTTGTCTTATTAATTTTCAGATAAAAAAAGGTATTTAAAATTTATGCTATTGTTAATTGGTGTGAGTGTTTCGTCAAGTGGAAGAGGAATCTTACATTCACGCAACAGATTCTTTATCCAAAAATACACTTAGGAAACCTCCAGAACGGACACTATCTTCAAAAATGCCCAGTTTAGTTGATTCTGTAAACAATCAAACGTCACATCACGATCCTCGTCTTTTCATTGAGTCATGGTGCAGTAAATTTTTATTTCTTTAAATTCATTTATTTTAACTTAGTCAATGTTATATAACCAAAGTAATACATCAGACTTAGTAGCTGGATAAGCTTAAGGTATTTTATAGATTATTTTTAAACAGGAAGTTCATTATTTAAAATACAGAAATTGGCGTGTAATGCACATTTCTTGTTTAAATACACTGATAAATTCACGTGAAAGTTTATATTGATTTGTAATCTAATTCTTTCATTTTTTCTGTAGAAATAACATATTAATCTCGCTTGTTTTACGCAATGTCTAAATCTCTTGTATTTAATATTTCGATGTTTTTTCTCCAGTCAGATGAGACGTACAGAATATTATTCCTTGTCCAACAGACACTAAACTTTCCTGTTGGTGACCTCATCTTCCTCCTTAAACTTTTTTTTCAGGCTTTCTTTGTCTGAAGATTTCTCTTAAAGCACGGTGTATGCCATCTCCCACGAATATTTTAGGTCACATATTACTGTCCCGATGTATGTTAACTATCGCTGCATTTATCATAAACGAGCATGCATATAAAGGTGTAGATCTTTTGTAGATGTTCTCGCGCCACGTTTTGTCGGGGTCAGCTTGACACGCAATAGTTATCTTTGACTAAAAGGACTAGACCTGCAATAAATATCTAGCCAACGATGGTTTAACCTTCCTGGTTGTGGGCATGATTGATTGTTAATTAGATTCCGCAGGGATAATATTTAGGGACAGATATGGAGAAAATGTTAATGACAAAGTAGAAACAATTAAGACAATTTGTCCCATTTGAAATAGTGTCATAAAATGAGTTATTAATAAAAGCGGGAGAATGAGAACTATTCTAACTTCGATGAGCGTGTTCAGTTTCTGGCGGTTTGATAAAGTAAATCCTGATTATATAAGCTAAACGAAGTGTGCCTGGTTGTCAGGCAAAATTCAATGCTTGAAGTATTCTCGCTTGCGAAATTTGTCAGTACAAGCTGTTTTTGTGGAACGGGGAGCCTGACTCCGGGGAAAATGAAGCAAGTATATTTTCTGGTTAACAAATTGTTCAAGGGACGGGTGTCTGGAAGTTGAGGGACACAGAAAAGAGATTCAGTTTCATAGAAAAGAAGACAAGCTCCAATGTGCACCACGCAGTGGAAAAGAAAACAGACAACTAGGTTACGGCTGATGATCTGAAGAAATACAGAGAAGAGGAAAAGGAACGCAGCAACTTAGACATGTCACCACCATTGATTTTGAGAGGACTGGAATCAACCAGGTTATGCCGGCATTTTGAGTATAATGAGTTTTATCGTTCACTCAATTCTATGATGAAATTTGTTTTATTACTATAAATTTGCTAAGTTTATTTCTATGAGAAAGTGTAGCATTCAAATGCCATATTCAGTTTCATTTTGTTCACGTAACTGATTAAATTGTTATATTTTATATACGGGGGCTCGTGTCGATCTATTCTATATTTATGCTGACATCTCTGTTTTTACATCCATTAATTTCATATTGTATGTTATTATTTGCTCTATTAGGGCAACAACACCTAAATAACGATAACCAGACAAAAGCGCCACATAATAGGTGGGCGACCTTTACAGCCAACAATGTCTGCTTGATACTGATCATTCATGTAAGAAGCATTGACCCGTCCGAATGGAAAACCTTTTTCAAATTGCTTGTGTAATGTGGAGACATATTGTTCAAATAACTCTTCCTTTAATTTACTATATTAAATTTTTTCCCTTTTGTTGTTTTATTTGTTCCCATAATTTATTTATATTCGTGTATCAATCTGTATTTTAAGGATCGTAGCAAACAGTCTGTAAAACTCTCTTTTCTTTCAGGCCATTTAAATCTGTATTAAAACATCCAGATATTGTATGTTTGACAAATTGTCTGATTGTTTTATCAATAATACAAGAAGATCAACGTCTAAAACAGATAATTCTTTAAGCCCTTCAAACGATTTCAGAATGATGTTCATATGGCTGATTAAAAAGTAGTCGCTTCCTACGACCGATCCTATGGCCTAATGGTTAGAGCATCCTCCTCGGATGCGAAAGGTCGTGGGTTCAAACACCTACTGAGTCATGCCCCAGTTTTAGACAGTTGTTGAATCACAGTAGACTGATCTCGTCAAGCTTATGCTATCTTCGAATTATAGTGTAAACATTTAACTGTCAACAATGGTGTGTATCTGATACTTTCTCATGTTGTCCATCTTTTATCAGGGTTGATGCTGATAATAGTTATGCTATAATCAGTGAAAACAATCTGTAAATCTGCATTTTGATTGAAATATGATGCACATGTAATATGTGATTGTAATCGACCAATTACTACTTGTACCCTCTTGAATTTTATTGTTGTATCACTCCCAGCTTTAACCGTAGTTTTATCACACTCACCTAAGGAGGCAGCATAATTATCCTTATGCTAAACTCCACGAATATTTATGCCACCCCTTTGAATATTGCTGAATTCATCACAATGTAGTTTTCATCCATCATGTATATTGTAAAACCCCGTGTGTTAAGTATCAAAAAGAAGAAAGAGTTCGGGACTTAAAATGATTTTAATAAATAAAACATTAAGTAAGTTAGAACATGCTTTTTAATCCCGCATAGTGGCTTTACATAAACAGAATGCAAGTCACAACACTATATATTTCAGATAATATAGAGCAGACTTGTTGTCTAAATGCCAAACGACAAAGTTATAATAAAGTATACCATGGTAAAATTAGTTATAGTATTATATTCCTAAGTGAATATATATATATATATATATATATATATATATATATATATATATATATATATATATATATATATATATATATATATATATATATATATATAAATTTATTATATTCACTGTAACACATTCTGACATGGTAGCGTGAATTAAATGAAAATAAATAATAATTTTAGTACAAGTTTACTTGAGCAATGTGGTGGAAAATAGCAGCGGCGTTACAAAGAATTGTAGGCATTTAAATTTAATAGCAATCATGTAATAAATCTATTCAAAAATTCTCGTGACAATATGATTCAGTTTTGGTATTTTAAAGTGCCAAGTTAATATCGGTTATGTAAAAGAAATTTATGGTTTTCGATTAGATTTGGAATATGTGGCCAAAATCTTTTCTTACTTAGATGCCCATACTTTGCCGCTCTTACAGCTATCTGCCAGTGCGCCGTTTTTTTAAAACTCATATTCACGTCACATGACTTTAGCTAGCCAATAATTGCTTGTCCTTCTCAGGGCTAACCAAGTCAACTATTCAAACTGCATGGAAAAATTCATCTGAACACAAAATTTAGACAGAATTAAGTTGTCCTTTCAATGTCCGTGATGTCCGTTTTTACTTTTAACCTTACTTGTATATTCATACCTGCAATTACGTAGAAATGAACGAAACGGACAAGTGAATTACAATGTGAATCGAGCTAGAGTACAACGAGTTGTAATACGGTTAGAAATAGTCCCTATCAAGTGCATACTATTTATGTACATTAAAGTAAAATAACAAATTCTACATGACCAAGAACTTACATTAATAAATAGTAACATTATTTCTAACTTTTTGTTCAACAAAAGTCTGACAACTGATATTATTCCATCCCTGTCCTTCCTGTATCTTCGCTGTTACTTACACTAAGAAAACTCACCGGGAGGCTGTAGTAACAAATTTAAGGACTAGCAATATATATATATATATATATATATATATATATATATATATATATATATATATATATATATATATATATATATATATATATATATATATATATATATATATATATGTATGTATGTATGTATGTATGTATGTATGTATGTATGTATGTATGTATGTATGTATGTATGTATGTATGTATGTATGTATGTATGTATGTATGTATGTATGTATGTATGTATGTATGTATGTATGTATGTATGTATGTATGTATGTATGTATGTGTGTCTGTGTGTGTGTGTGTCTGTGTGTGTGTGTGTGGCTTTGACAATCCAAAATCAAGGAAAATAATATCATTCATTTCCTAAACTATTCATGTCTTATAGCACTGTATTTTGTCTTTGTTTGATGAATTGCTGACACATTCATTAATACTCGTGACCAAAGCGTAACATTACGATGACCAGAGCAAGGTTTTATACTCACATTTAGTTTAAAATACAGATTACATGTTTGCAAGCAGCAAACTAAACAATGGTAAGTGGATGGCATGCGCTCCGGAATGACACATATGGTAAACGTTTTCAGCGACAGATAAGAATGACGTGATCAAATATGCCATAGTCTCGTAGGTCAAACATCATCTCACACCTCAACTATTAAGATCAGATAATCTTCACACGTTAATTGGACAATGTTTATACATGCAAGACTCCATTCACAATACCTTTAAGGTATTACAACGTAGTGAATTGCAACATGCTTTTCGGACGTTGTTTGATGCTTTTACATTATCATTACTAGCATTCAAAAGGAATGAAGTTCTCAATAGTGTTCAGTACTTTAATTTGTGGAGTTTGGTATTACAATATTGTATCAGAATTTCAAATTATTTGTGGCATGACATTACACATTTAAAATTTTTTTAGTATGGTTTGAGATCTTGATGGTATTAATTTCATTTACAAGTGGACCAGTGATCATTAGCTTAAATAACTATTTTGCTTGTTTGAGATGTTTGGTTGACATCAGCATATTATTTCTGTTTTTGGTTTTGACTGTATCCTTCATTTTCTTGTTGGGTTTTTTGTGAATAGTTTTGGTTTACAGGATTGGGTAAATGTAGTTATTTAATGGCCTTATCATGTACACATTTAATGTAAGATTATTTGATTCTTCCAACAGATAGAAATATGTATTTGAGCTTCCTATTCAAGCTGATTCGTAAATGAGGCGCCTCCAATATCGTTATTATCAGGAAATGTTTAGTTTATTTCGTTTGATGAATTTTGCAGTACCGTTAATATATCATGTCCATTTACTTCAGAATAAAGGTTTAAATATTACCGTAGTAGAGGTAGTCCATTGATAGTCTCTGTTTATTATTACTTGTGAGTGCTCATGGGAGTGTTAGTAGTGGTATACAAATGATTACGGTATGATAACATGGGGTTGGGGTGGTGGAAATGTGTACAAAAGTATGACTAGATAATATTTTTTGTTGTCACACAGTTGTACATAAATCGATCTAGCATTGAAATAATGCAATGGTCAAGAAACCTCGGGGAACTGTAATTCAGGGTAAAACTGAGTAAAAGCAGCCGACAATTGTCATTAGTAAATACATGGGTCGATAGATGTTCATAGTCTAGGATGCTTTTAAAATACCATTTCATCTGGGCTCTCTGGGGTTCTATTAAATTGGGGGTTGGGTGGGTAGGTCCTTAAATGAGCATAGTTCTTTATCGTGGAGAACCTCCTGTAAATTAAGAAATTATTGGATGTCAGACAGTACACTTCGCAAGTTCTTTATTTCATTTGATAGACTTTTGTCATAATACTCTGATCAAGACTGTACACTTACCCATCCTCTGAAGTATTACCATCATCAGGCGTCGAATTAGCGACCACGTTTGCAACCATTTAGTTGCAAATCTGAGCGTTTGAGGTCGTAATCTTTCCATTCTGGAATGCTGTTTTTAATATGTCTATTAATACTATCGTAATGACATAAGGTTGAACACTTCAAGATCGTCAGATAACTGGATTCCAGCTCTATCGAGCAACAGCTGAAGATACAATTTATTGATGTACATATTTACGATAAATGGAAACTGTGTTGCCCTGGACCTTTATTCCATTAGGCAAACGTCGTATTGGAGGTGGGGATTTCCAGGTATTTTGGACACCCTATCCCCGCCAAACACACACACACACGCACACACACACACACACACACACACACACATATATATATATATATATATATATATATATATATATATATATATATATATATATATATATATATATATATATATATATATATATATATATATATATATATATATACATACATGTATAATCACTGGTCAATTGAAATTTTACCATCGCTTTATTCTTGCGCGTTTTTGTTGGGATTTTTGCACATTTTGAGTAAATAAACATATTTTTGTTTTGGTTTTTTTGGACCCACTAATTCTCCAACGCTTGACCTGATCCGGCCATGAAGACCACAATCAGAATCAATTTTAAATTAATTTATTTTTTCTCCATCTCTATCACTTTTCCTAATATTTTGAACTTTTCATCTCATAATTCGCCCACTGCCGTCCTTAAGAATGAGCGAAAAAAGTTCAGGTTGACGCATATCAAAGTACTAAATTTCATCTCACCTGAGGAAAGGAAGTTAAATTTGAAAAATAACAATTTTTAATTTTGCTCTTTTAATATTTTTTCATAAATATTTACGCGAGTTTCATAGCTTTCGACTGTCCATACAACTTACCTCTGAAGTACAGGAAGTGAAAATGAGCAAGTGGAGCTAACACTTTTTGAAAGTTGCACATCTGAAGTAAGGTCTAGCTGTATACTCGACAACCCATATTACACCCATCAATCATACAACAAAATAAAAGTAATTAAAGGTTCTTTGAACAATACCGAAGATATACAAAGTCTTTTTAAATAGCCAGTATAACTAGTAAGGAATCCCGGGGAAATTCTTTTTCTTTAAAATTCTAAGTATGCTAAATACAAAACTGTAAAGCGCCACCAATAACGGCGATTATCTTCACTAAATAGCTTTTTCTTTCTCTCATCCTTACCGTCGGAATTAAATTGCATGTGCAAATAACATTATATTTCTTATATAGGGAAAATGGTAATGCAGTGTGTTGAGTTTTCCTATCCCTTTTCAGACAGTCGGAAAATAATACATGTAATCGCGTGCATGCGAGCGCTTTCTCTCATTGAACTTTTGATCCATACAACTGTTATGATGGCAGAGATAATGGGAGAGACTTCAATGTAACCGTGTAATCTCTACCAAAGTGGAAAACATTCCCATAAGTCTGTTTATTACATTAAGATAACAAATCATAGTTATTTCATTTTATGTCCGCTGTGC